TGTCGTCAAAATACACAGCCATCTTATAGGGTATTCTATTGCAAACTAATCGCTAATTCGTTAAATAATTTCAATTACGCTGACAATACACCATAGACATCATATTGACATAATCTTTCCCTGTAAAAATATATTTGATATTGATTCCCATATAAACATGAGCTCACGATCGTTTTAGCCGGTCAAGAAAGGGCTTCTTTCCACAACCTTAATTTTCCACTTAATTTAAAATGCCACAAGAAAATAGCTTCAGAACAATACCATAGTAAGTTGTCGTCACACATTAAATTTTCAATAGCAGGAAATTAAAAATAATAAATATTTACTGGCTTGACTTTTTATTAATTTTTTTCTATTTAAATGCCACAAGTAATCTTTCTAATTACAGGTGTGCCTCTCACCTACGATTTGGCTCTAGTGTTGTTAAATGATGGCAACGAGTCTGAAATAGAAGATTTAGATGACGAAAATTATGATGTTTTTGAGGTTCAAATATTTGAAAATGACACAGATGATAAGGATATTAAAGAAACTGTATTGCATAAAGAACTTTTATTTGATGAAAAACTTGTTCCTTCAACGAGCTCTTCTTCAGCAATGAGGCAATGGAAAGACACGACATTTCAGCAAAAAATGTATGATTATCTAAAAACTACACCTAAACGAATCAGAAATGCTATGGAGTACTTTTCCGATTATTTAAATGATGGTTTCTTTGATTTAGCTATTAATTGTACAAATAATTATTAAACTTTGATCACATGAAAGGTAGATATCGAGCACAGTTTTATTAATTAAATCTTCCCCAAGTACTTTCGCTTCCTAGAGCATCTTCAGGGGCATTTCGTCAATTTTGGCCTATTCAACAATCATAGAATGTCAAACATAAAATTGTACGTTACACTACACAAGGACAAACAGTTAGAATTTTTACTACATTATGGTCGGCATCAGGAAAGAGAACCTTCTCTCTTGATGCCGACCATAACGTAGCTTCGCCTATTTTAAAAAAGTTTTAAACTGTTTGTCCTTGTGTAGTGTAACGTACAATTTTATGTTTATGACATTCTATGATTGTTGAATAAGCCAACATTGACAAAATGCCCCTGAAGATGCTCTAGGAAGCGAAAGTACTTGGCAAAGATTTAATTAATAAAACTGTGCTCGATAGCTGCCTTTGATTTAATCAAAGTTTATTTATTCGATCATTCAACCTTATATCAATTTAAATAATTAATAATTAATGTGCAAGACAGGTCACATGATGACCACAAAGAGTGAAGAAATAAAGAAGTTAATAGGTATACACTTGATTATAGGATGCATCCCTTATCCTAGACTTCAGATGTATTGGTACCAAGAGATGAAACTTCATATGGTATCAAGCCAAATGACCGCTTCAAGATATTGCGTACAGCCTTGCATGTAGTTGATGAGGACATAGAACCTGAAGGTAATACGAACGTACTTTGGAAGGTACAATCCATCATAACTGTAGTTAAACGAGCATGTGACAGATTAGAAAGACATCCAGGTTGACGAACATATTATTCCTTTCTGTGGATGATATCCAAGTGGTTTTTGAGTTATATCTAGGTTCAAGAACTCTTTTTCCTGCCAGATCACTTGGAGTTTCTACTGCTGTGATTCTACACTTATTACAGTCAGTTCCTCCAAGAAGCTGTCTCTATTTTTATAGATATTTTTCATCAATACCCCTCATTGAACGTCTATCTCAAATGAAACTTCATGGAACAGGTACTTTGATGATGAACAGACTTCCAGAACGGATAAAGATACCTTTTAAACAAGATCTTTGTATAAAACGAGGCGAATCACAGCAATTTGTGTGTGGAGACGTAGTTGTTGTTAAATGGATATACAATAAATCTGCGCTAATTGTATCGAATTGTAACTCAGCTAAAACAGATCAGATAAAACTTCTAAAGCTTATATTCAATTTCCATGCCAAAGCTTATTCACAACTACAATATCAACACGGGAGGTGTGGAAGTTCTAGACCAAGGTATGGAATATAATCGCACATTCACGTAAACAAAAAAATGGACCCTCAAAGTAATACTACACTTTACAGACCTTTGTGTAGTGAACTCTTGGCGCCTCTATAGAATGGAAGCCATCAATGCACATATTCCAAAAAAGAAACTACAAGATTTGCTTCAGTTCAGATTAGAAGTAGCTGATGGTCTCATTGGAACCAAAACCAAAAATCCTTTATCAACAAGTGAAGATACTGAGTATATAGATATTGATCCAGTTGGAAACCAAAAAAGGTATCGATCAGCCAATAATCCAAGTGATTCAAGGAGGTATGATTGTTATGATCATTTTCCTATTTTTGATCAAATTCAAGCTCCTAGAACATGCATGTTTGAAAAAAGTTAGATGTGAAAAGTGCAACGTTTATACGCAAAAAATAATTATTATGTACCTCTCAATTTTCAATATTTGTTTGAAATTTACTCCTAGTTTTTGATTTATTTTAGTCAGTATGTACAGCATGTTAAAAAATTATAAAAATAATTTTTATTTGGTCGTAATAGTGTTTTACATTTAATAAAAGTGTATTTTTTCATACACTCACGATCCTGCGTTCGTAGAACATAAGCAGAGAGCGCACGAACGTGACATGTCATTTGTGAAAAATTCTAACTATGAATTTTTTTTGTGCATCTTTTACACCTATTTTAGGTACGGTATATCGTATTTATTCAAAGGGAAACTTAATTTTCACTCAAAAGAAGTTCAGGCCTAAAAGGGATAGTAACTAATGCTATTCCAACTTCAAAAAAAAACAATTGGTACTAACGAATATTAAAAAATTTAAAATTAAGGCATTAGAAGGTTAAATCCTCTTAAATAACTACTTCTTAATTAGAATTGAATAATAGTTTTTACTTTGATGTGAGTTTGCGTTTTTTAAAGTTACTTTTAAAAATTCTTCTATCTCTTTTACTCCCTCTTTCGATATGTTACCAACAGTAGGATATATTTTTTATAAATAGATAGGACTATTATATTTACTTTTCACCATGTCAATTTAATCATTTTTTGACGACGTATATTTGGGAAATGAGGATAGTGATAAAAAAAATGGATAGAAAATATTAAGACTTCACTTTTGATAAAAAAATAGCTGGTGTTTTGATTCGTCATACAATGGCACACCTGCTCAAATTTTTGAAAAGTTTTAGACCGCTTATATCACGAATTTGTTTTTACAATCATTTATATCTAGATCACAAGAAAAGAACACATTATTTGCGACATATGTTGCATGAAAAACTCAGAAAACGTGTGAAAACGTAACATTTTGTTTGTGGCTGAGAAGAGCTAATATGTATTTAGACTTGAAATGACAAAATTTTCAACTTTCAATTTTTGTAGTATTATGTTTTGCTTGAATAAAATTTTGTTGTTAAAACAATGATATGTATCTTTTTTTGGAGTATTATCTTGGGGTTATAACATTTGTAATCAATATATCAAGTAATAAATAAAATAATCTTTATTGGGTGTACCCACAATATAAAACATGTCCATATAAAGATTAACAGTATTAGCATGTTTTAATATCCACCACAAGATAAACAAATATTTTCCAAATTGAGATTAAAAAATATTTTACTACTCCAAACTTTTGATCTGATTGGTTTTTTGCTGATTAATATTGTTTTAGTTTTCTGAGTTCAGATTGTCATATTTTTTTGTTCTTATGTTAAATCTTTGGACTAATCTTTGCAGACTATCTTCATCTTGTGCTATCAATATTGTGTCATCTGCGTAACAGAGTATTTTCACTTCTTATTTTCCCATTCTGTATCCTCTTTCCTTTGTTTACACTTTTTATAATTTCATCCATTATTAAATTGAAGAGCATAGGACTCAATGAGTCCCCCTATCATATTCCGCTGCCTATCTCTATGAGTTCTGTAAGTTTTCTATCTATTCAGACTTATATTTTGTTTTTTTTTTTAAACTTTGAGGGTATACAAGGCAACTATCGAACACGGTGATTAATTTAATCTTGCCCAAGTACTTTCGATCAATAGATCATCTTCAGGGGCATTTCGTCAATTGTGGCCTATCCGACATAGTAGAATGTCATAAATGTAAAATTTGGACATAACAATACAAAATACAATACACTAAGACAAACAAACACTTTAAAATTTATATGGAGAAGCTACATATTGTATAGAAGCTGGTGTTATATTTTGTTGTTTTGGTATAATACCATATAATGAGTGTTACCTCTCAGTCATGGAGTCACGTCTTTGTTTCCGAAAGAGTTAACGACGCAAAGCACCTTAAGCTACGCTTATGTCAGCGCCAGATTTGTTCGCGTATAATCCTGAAAGCAACTTACAATGCAACAAATCCTTTTAAAAACTTTTCACCTCATTCTCGTAATCCCGCTTATATTAATTCATATACCGACCTCCTCTAGATATTACTAAAGGATCTTCAGATTATTATTTCATATCATTAAATTAAATAATAATAAAAAAATACATAATTAAGTTTAGTTAAGTTTGATTATGAAATTATATTATTATATTATTATATGAAATTATTATTGTGGTAATAAACTGTTAAATATTGCCAAAAATGTAGAAAATATACTAAATATTATGTATCTTACTATTACTGGCCTCAGAAATTAAAGAAAAACTAGTCAAGTTAAACCAGTCGCCTTTGGTTTTAAAATCTATACGACAATTTAAGAAGAGCCACATTGATTCCAAATTGGACTATACACATCTAGATTATTTTGACTCTTTAACTGATAATGAAATCTAACATTGATAAAATGTAAAAGCTACAGGAACTTAGTTTCCTCGTGGAATTGATAAAATGATCTTTATTTTCTCTCATTCTGAAATAAACGATTACAGTTATATTATATACAGTTATTTAACATACCCCACACTATATTAGCCCACTTTCATCGTAATATTAGCGAAAAATCGACTTACCGAAGTCTCCCTTAATATTTGGCTAGCGTTGTCAACGCCACTGTCTTCATCATCCTGCTCTTGGCGTTTGTCTTTAATTATTGGATTTTCGGTAGCGTCGTAATACTCAGACTGTTCATCCATTCCCGGGCTAAGCCCATTCGCGATGGAACCGATGGATCTTTTCTCTCTATAAATAAATGCATCTTTGAGAGTGTAAACTACTGATCGTGTATATCGGAGTGCAAGATACGACAGGAAATCAACAACACAACCATGGTGCCTCCCAGGTTGTTAGCAGGCGTAACCCCCAAATAAAATGAAAGAATACGCCCGGAAAATCTAAAAAATGATTAAAACATGCACCTGGAATGTTAAGACCATGAACGGAGCAGGCAAAATCCCACAATGCCGTCCATGAAATATAGGTTCGAGCAGTATTATATACTCGTTTTTGCTATTTGTGTCATATTATTGTTTGTCAGTGTTGCATCTTCGTTTTATTTCTTTGTTGAGATTTCCCATATTAATTTTTTCACTTTCTGAGTGTACTCAATGATTTGAAATGTTTCGTCTGTAATCCAGTGTGGCTGATTGTCACAGAATTGTTTATCTTTAAATGATTTATTGATATTGGTGTTACAAAATGTTTACCAGCTTCCCATATCTTTATGAGAAAATTGAAGAAACCAGCACGAATTACCACAGCACGTATACGATGATAATAGGAGACTTCAACGTTAAGATCGGACAACGACTTGAAAAAACCGAAAACTATATACAATTCGGCTTTGGAGTTAGAAATGAGAGATGAGATACCTTGGTTAACTTCCTTCTTCTTCTTTAAGTTCCATCTTCTATCGAAGGTTGGAAATCATCATGGCTATGCGGACTCTATTGACTGCCGCTCTAAAAAGTTCTGCATTCAAACCATTCCCGTAAGTTCTTAAGCCAGGATATTCTTCGTCTTCCCACATTTCGCTTTCCTCGGATTTTGCCCTGCATAATAAGTTGTAATAATGGGTATTTTTGCCCTCTCATCACATGTCCCAAGTACTCAAGTTTTCGTCTTTTAATAGTTAATATTATTTCCGCCTCATTTCCTATCCTTCTAGTTACTTCCATGTTTGACATTCTTTGAATCCATGATATTCGTAGGATTCTTCTGTAACACCAAAATTCAAAGGCGGCCAACTTATTCAGATGAACTTGTTTTAGTGTCCAAGCTTCCAGACCATAAAGAAGAGTAGAGAACACGTAACATCGAAGCATTCTCAGGCGTAGTTCTAACCTTATATCCCGACAACAAAGAAACTTTTTAAGTTTAATAAATGATTAACTTCCTACAAGCCCACAAATACTATGCAATGAACACATTCTATGAGAAAAAACCTCAAAGAAAGTGGATGTGGCTATCCCCAGACGGAAAAACTCGAAACGAAATACATTACATACTGTGTAACAAAACAGATATCACACAGGACATAACTATATTAAATTCGGCGTCAGTAATCCAAGAAAAACTTGGAATATAGATATAGATAAACTAAGATCTTATACAGAACAATATAAAAGCAAGATAAAACCCGCGAAAGTATTAAATCTAGATAAACTTAGCTTAAAAGAAATGAATGAAGTCATAACAAAAGAAATATTAAATGCAAGCTCAGAGGTGGCAACCGCTAATAGAAAACGAAAATCCAAAATAAGTGTAGAATGACAAAACATGATAAAACAAAGAAAAGATCTGACAAAACAAAAGAGAATTTAAGGAACTTAATCGAATAATGAGAAAACAGATAAAAGAGGACATTAAAAAACATCAAGAAGACCATATAGAACAAATCATAGAGAAAAATCGAGGTCTCAAATGCACCAAACCGAAACTAGGAAAGAAAAACATAATAACCATTAAAAATGAACCAGGACAACTAGTAAAAAGTAAATCAGATATTGAAAACTCAATTGAAAAGTTGTACGCTGGTCTGTACCGTTCCAGAAACGATCTCCATAACTCCTCAAAGCAGAACTTGAAAAGGCGGATAACAAATGTCAACTCAGAAGTGATGCCCGAAATAAGCCACGAAGAAATAGAAAGAGCAGTAAAAGAAATAAAAAGAAATAAAGCTCCTGGAAGCGATGGAATCGTAGCAGAAATGCTGAAAAAAGGTGGAGAAGAAGCCACCACATATCTAAAAATACTATTTAATAAATGTCTATTCTAAGACAACATACCTGAATAATGGAATACTGCAAAAACAATACTAATGCACAAAAAGGCAGACACCACAGACCTGAAAAATGATGACCAATTTCACTTCTTTCACAACTTTACAAAACCTTTACAAAGATTATTACAAACAGGTTAACAATTAAATTTGACGGATATTAACCAGTAGAACAAGCCGCATTTAGAAAAGGGTACAGCACCTGTGACCATCTATATACGTTAAAAATCCTAATAGAAAAGACTAACGAATACCCCCATTATGTCTGGCTTTTATAGAATATGAAAAAACTAATGTCAAACAAAGATGACAAACCTATGATAAACATCGAAAGGACAGAGACAGAACACGTAGATGCACACGTGTAAAAATGGGATGGGCAGTATTCGGAAGACTATCATATGTACTTAACAATAAAATATACCTAAAAGACTTCGAACCAAAGTGTTTAATTCCTGTATCCTACCTGTACTTATATGGAGCTCAAACCTGGACATTCACTAAAATAAACATGAAGATGATCAGAAGAACTCAGAGAGCTATAGAACGACATATGCTGGGCATCTCACTCAAAGACCACGAAACCAATGAAGAAATTCGTAATAGAACCAAAGTAAAAGATGCTGTCGAATAGGCAGCTAAACTGAAATGGAAATGGGCTGGACATAATGAACGTCTTACGGATGGCCGATGGAATAAAGAAATCGGGAATTGGTGGCCATACGAAGACAAAAGACCACGAGGAATACCGCAAATGTGCTGGAGCAACTATATTAAAAGAACTGTGTGTGGAAACGTGTTACAAACGACATAGATGAATGGCGAGAATTAGGAGAGGCCTATATTCGGCAATACGAATAGAGAAAAGGGCTTAAAAAAACATTAAAAATAGGGGCAAGTTTTTTTCTACCTCTTGGAGAGCATCTTCCCTATTTCTTATTTCTAGGTTTCTCGTCTCTTTGCGTTTGTTATATGCTAAAGTTTGAGCTTTACTATCAGAAGAATATGACCTGATCCGTACAATATAGTAGAGCATACAAAATTTTATGACATCTTTCAAAAATTGTGACACAAAATTCATAAAAAAGGGGAACTAACTGTTTTATTGCAAAACTAATGAATAATATTTTCATCGCATTAAACAACAACGATAAATAGAAGTTATGTAGGTTTGATACGAGCATTGTGAAAAGTCCAAGGATGCCACAATAGACTGTAATAGTACAAGATTGTACAAAGAAACAACTTAGGTATTATTAGTTATACTCTTACCTCTGCTCTGGAATGCTAGTAGTGGACACAAACGTAACATTGTTTGTATTCGTCCCGAGATCATATCCCTGCGAACATCTCACCCGCTCTTTGTTCTCTCCTTTGTCGTCACCATCTTGTTTTCGACACTGAGTGCTCGAACTGCTCTCCGACGACTTAGAGTCTACCAAGTTATTTTTCACAGCCTCTAAGGGTTTGGAAACGGCTTTAAGAGAATTGCTACGACACAAAGGATCACCTTGATCCAAATTTATGCTGGACTTCCGGTGGACCTTCTTTTTTCGGTAGCCTTCTAAACTGTCTTGATGAGATGCTTCTTTCGGCACTTTGTGGTCGGTCTCGGTACTGCTGGACTCGCCTTCTGCTTTCGCCGCGGGTACTTCAGTGCCTAAGAACAGAAATAGTATTGTATATGTTATAATCTGAAAGTGAGTCCTTGCAGCCTGCGCATGAACTTGAGGCAAGACGTTAAACGTGAAATATAAGTACTAATTTTTCGATAGATTAGATTATGTGAGGTCGTTAAGGCCATGCGGCTTCACCGCACTTCGACCTATAGAGAATTTTTCGATAATTCGATTATCTATATGTTGAGATTAGAACGGATGAGTTATAAAAAAATATAGACTACAATTGCATATTGAGAAACGAATTGAAAAAAACGTTTACGTAGCTCAATGAATTGAATGGAAACAATATATAAATATATCTCATGGGTAGCGGGTGGATACTTCTCTGCGATCCCGGCAGAGGATAGATTTCTTCTTCAGAAAGAGCACACCTGCCCACGCGAACTCATAGATTTCTCCAGCCTCCCATCCAGAGGGAAACCATGTCGAAACTCAAAGCATTCCTATCTCCACCCTTTCCTCCATCAACTTCCAAACCAACTCGCCATTACGCACTAGCCAAGCGTGACGTTTTATGGGTTAAAGAAACCCCAAACCCCAAATGTTATTTTCCATGAGAGACGAAACTACTGAACGGCCCTCAGTCTCCGGTGGCTTTAACACCTCCAACCAAGGTAGCGGTTGCAACAGGTTTGAAGCAGAGGGTGCTAAGAAATCTCGGAAAAAATCAGGCTACTACAAAGAGCGACAAATGCATATTACTTCATACAATCTTAGAACTCTTATATCAGACCAGAAGATGATGGAACTGAAAGACGAGCTAAAAACAATAAGAAATCAGGACACGTATTTCATTTTATAGGTGAAGAAGACCATTAACACTCAGAAAAAAGGTAGTGACTAAGATTCGCGTGACTCAGAAGGCTATGGAGCGCCAGATGTTGGGTGTCTCACCACTTCTCACTTCTTCGTTTCTTCTTCTTTCAGTAGCCTGTCTGATTATCGAACGTTGGTGATCATATTGGCAATAATAACCTTATTCACGGCGGCTCTAAATAAATTAGCGGTGGTTTCTTGATACCATTCTCGGAGATTTCGTAGCCAGGATGTTCTTCGTCGGCCTGGGCCTCTCCTTCCGTCGATCCTACCCTGTATTATGAGGTGTAGAAGGTTAGGTAATGTAATGAGACATCCTCTCTGGATGTCTCATTACATGACCGAAATATTGTAACTTCCGAATTTTTATCGTTATTGTTATTTCTGTGCCCTTTTTCATTCGATGTAAAACTATTTCATTTCTTATTCGATCAACCCAACTTATCCGTAATACTCGTCGATAAATCCACATCTCAAAGTTCTCTAATTTTTTCATTAATGTCTCTGTAAGGGTCCAGCTCTCCATACCATACAGCAATGTGGAGAATATGTAGCAGCGTATTAATCTGATTTTAAGGTTTAACGTAATATCTCTATTAATTAGAATTTTCTTTAATTTATAGAAGGCGGCTCTGGCTTTTTCAATGCGTATTCTTATTTTTTTATTTATATCCCAGTTTTCGTTAACGTTTGCACCCAAGTAGGTAATATTGTAGACTCTTTCTAACTCTATTCCATACGCTATGATGTTCGTTGGTTGTAACTCCGTTTTGCTGATAACCATAAATTTTGTCTTAGAAGTATTAAGTTTTAGCCCATATTCATCACATGATTCGGTTACCCTATTTATAAGTCGTTGCAGGTCTTCTTCATTGGAGGCCGTGTCGTCTGCATATCTGAGATTGTTGACATTAATTCCGTTGATTTTAATGTCTTTATCTTCAACTAAGGCTTCTTTGAAAATAAATTCGGAGTAGACATTAAAAAGTAGTGGCGATAGAATAAATCCTTGCCTCACTCCACGTCGTATTTCCACTGCTTTCGTCGTGTTGTGTCCAGTTTGTATGTTTGCACATTGATCCCAATACAAATTTTTGATAATACGGAGGTCTCGGTCATCAATTCCCACCTGTTGCAAGACACCTATAAGTTTGTCATGGTTTACTCGGTCAAAGGCCTTTTCGAAGTCGATAAAACACATATATACTGGTTGTTCTATATCCCTACATCTTTGAACCATGACCCGCAAACTGAAGAGTGCTTCTCTGGTTCCAAGGTTGTTTCTGAAACCAAATTGTGTTTCACTTAGTTGTACTTCTATTTTGTTGTAAATTCTAGAGTGCAGTATTCTTAAGAAAATTTTTAGTACATGACTCATCAGACTGATAGTGCGATGATCGCTACACTGTTTGGCATTTACTTTTTTCGGTATCATTACAAATGTTGATAGTAGCCAGTCTGTTGGTATATATCCTGTTTCGTATATTTTATTAAAGAGGCTTAGAAGAGAATGTTTGCCCTTATCATCGAGCAGTTTGATTATTTCGCTTGGAATTTCATCTGAACCGGTTGCTTTCCTACTCTTTGATAGCTTTATAGCTCTTTCCATTTCATCGAGTGTTATGTTTGGACCAGTCGATATATTTTTTATTTGAATTTCTGTTCTATCGTCGTCAAACAGCTCCTTAATATATTCTTCGTTTAGGCATACCAAACGAAGAAATACGTCGTTGAACAAAAACAACAGACGTCACCGGAAAAATCGCCAGATTATCAAACAGCCGATGGACAAAACGTATTGTCGAGTGGAGACCAAGACAGAGGGCGTACACTAACTAGATGCACTGACGACCTGAGTTGGAAGACAGAGACTGATGGAAAAAACTGAGGGAGACCTATGTCCAGCAGTGGACGCAAAGGTTGATGATAATGATGATGATGAGTATATCGGAAAATATTAATAACCTAAGTTAACCTAATCCAGCCTTGGTTAGGCTAGACGTCATTTGACAGCATGGTAATAAAAGACAATAGTAAATATTTATCTTAATATTTCAATGAGATACATACAAAAAAATAAATACGAAATTAAGTAAATATCTTACCAATTATTTTATCACTAGTCTTAGGAGAGATTCCAGTCTCCACAGAACTGTTATTTGGGTTTCTAGTTTCTAGTTCTACATTCTTTTGTAAATTACATTGCGTCTCGCTATCTTCTGCAGTCTGAACCTCCACCGCAATGCTTTCCACTGGTTTACTACTTTCGACATCGTCGCATTTATTATCTGGAAATATAAAAATATTTTAAAAATCATTGCAACTTATGAAAATGTTCGTAATTTATTGATAAAAATGTAGTTGAGAAAACCTGCTGAAGTTTGTAACCGTATATCACACATTTGTTATTTGTCTTACAACAATTATTCTAATTACTATTTAACTGGGAATAAGCCACAATTACAGATAAAAATACGTTTATTGACGTTTCAATTTCCACTTCGGAAATCGTTCTTTTTTAAGGAGAATATGCTGAAGTTTCCCAACGATCCGTATTACGTATTAAAAAAAAAAAAAGAAAAATATCATCCCTACAAAATTTAACTATATCAGGAATTAAACGACGGCTTCAATTTTCTGAAATTATGCAGTATTTATGTATCCGCAATCCACATTTCATCAATCAAATCCTTTTTTCCGATGAAGCCACATTTTTTATACATGGTACCGTGAATCGTCAAAATTGCAGATATTAGACTCAAGAAAACCCACATTGGATGATTGAGTCACACACGCAATATCCTCAGAAAGTAAATGTATGGACAGGGATCATTAATGACAGAATCATTGACCCCTTTTTCTTTGAAGAAAATCTAACAGAAGAACGTTATTTAACTTTATTGAGAAACCAACTTATACCTGTCCGTACCGTAACATGTATCCAAATGCCAACAATCCAAATTTACCTAGTGAAAATATCTGGTTTCAACAAGATGGAGCCCCTTCGCATTATGCACGTGAAGTACGTCAATTTTTAAATCATTGCTTTCCCAGGAGGTGAATCGGAAGACGAAGTTTTATAGAGTGGCCAGCAAGGTCGCCAGATCTATCACTTCTAGACTTTTTCCTGTGGGGTAAAAATCTGATAAAATCAAAAGTTTATGTCAATAGACCCCAAAACTTACAGGACTTGAAAGATAGAATTAGGCATGAAATGAGTGTAATTAGTTTAATGTACTTGATGAATGTGTCCGTAGATTCGCATATTGTCAAGAAACCGATGGATGGCATTTCGAAAATTTAATTTGAAATAATTGTTATGCACAATTTGGTTACTTTAAAGTACTAATAAGGTCCCCAAATTTTAAATAAAATTAAAATCAAAAGACCATTAAAAAAATCGAGAACACCCTGTATATAGAAATAGTTTAGTCGTAAAATCATAAACCATTTACCGGGAACAACGTGAGTGGTTTCCGAATATGTGAATAAGTGATCTAGAAAGTTTTCTCCGATAAAAAGACCATACGGTTTGGACATGACCAGGTAGGTTTAGTACACAACTATTTGAAATTTGCGGTTATAATAGATTAGAAAGTAATAAGTAAGGATTATTGGTTAATGGGTTTTCTCCTTTACAAAAGTTAAAAAAAGAATTCAAGGTCGCTTACCGGAAAGTACTTTAACGTCAGGTAATTTTTGGAAAAACCAAAAATTTAATGGACTAAGAAACCGATGATGCGTTTGATGAGAGAAGAGATTTGTTTGGATTAATTTGAGATGGATAAAGAAGAAGGGGGTGAAAAGCTGGCCAGGAATGAAATGAGGGAAAAGAAGGACATTATGAGTTGAACATCGAGAGAGACCGGTTCCGGTGAAAACATTTTTTTTTTTGAGAATTTATAAGAAGTAGTGCTTAGTGTTTGTGTGGAAAATTAAGCAGCCATTGTGGTAAGCAGAGACGAGTTCCAGTAGAAATAGAGGCATTACTGTAAGTACAAACAGATATATTTTCGTTGTGTCTGAGAGGAAGCAGTTTGTTTGTCATGGAGTTTGGAGTTTGTGGTAAAGACATCACGACATTTTCACATACTGTTTGTCTTTTTCTTTTATTATCAAAAGAAACAGTAGGCGGAATAGCGAGCAGGGAAATTGGTAGGATCCGGGAAGTACATTGCGATCTGGTCAGGGCACAATCCAAGCAAAATCAAGGGAAGATAGTCTGTTTGAAAACCAAAGTTTTGAGTTTTTAAATAAATTCTATAAATACATTATATCACAACCATCTATCAACATTCATGTCAATTGTTTGTAATTTGCAATATTTTTATAGTTAAGGCAAGAAGTTAAGGCACCAATAATTCTTTCTAAAATTTTTATATTAAGAGATATTTGATTTAGAAATATGGGTATTTAATTTTTATTGAGCATTAACGGATGAAGGACAAGGATGAACGGAAGAACAATTGTTTTAATATAAGAATTGATCGTCTATTATTTCTTTTTCCTTTTGTTGATCTTTCTTAAATGGAACTAGCAGAAGATACTTTGAAGCCACGTTTTAATAAAAAAAAAGATATCCCTGAGATATTCTTTGCTTTGAAATTTATTACATTTCAGACTATATAAGCAGATTTACAATTATAAGAAAATCACAACAGTACATTATGAATTAAATCATTAGTTGTAATTTAATTGAATTTAAATTAAAAAAAATTGTTTTTGTACCCTTAAAAAATATTTTAGTTAAACATGTAATGTTAAATAGAGAATAAAATTCTCGTTTAAATGAAAAGTCGCACTATACCGATTTCTATTAAAAAAAATTAGATAACGATTACGTCACTACACCTACACCGGTGACGTCATCCCTACTCCATGTACCTACGTTATAAGATGGGTATTTTATAACAAAAATCGACCTGTTTCAGGATTTCCGTCAAAACTCGCCGGTTCTCGAAATAATGATAATATTCCATAATTTAGCCGTTCACTGTATACTAAATCCGTTTTTGAATAAGGATTACTATCTGACAGTGAAGGAATAATAATTAACGGAATAATTATTAACAATATAAGACATGCAGATGACTTCGTAATTATGACAAGCTCTGCTGAACAAATTTAGATACTACTAAACAAAGACAAGTCGTTTCTGTGAAAAATATGGACTAAAAATAAATTTAAAAAGACGACTAAATATGATACTAACAAAGGAAAAATATATAAACAAACATACATGGTTAAAAATACAAATACCTGCGAACCCGTATTTCACAAAATGATGATCAACCAACAAAAATAAGGGAGAGAATAAAAATAGCAAGAAATGCGTTTGCAAAAATGAAAACAATTATCAACAATAAAGAGTTAGAAGATTAGAACTGAGAGTAAGAACTCTGAGATGTTTAGTGTTTTCGATAGTACAATATGGACTTGACTAGTCATGTGATTTGTGGTGTTACAGAAGGACATAGCATGGACACAGAAGAAAGTATTTAGAGAAATGGCCAAAAACTACGAAGTGTTAAATACAATAAAAATAAGAAGTTACAATATCTGGCACACATGAATGAGTAGACAGCAATATCAATTGCTAAGTGTGATAATACGGGTAAGATAAGTGGAGGAAGAAGTGGTTTAAATGCAGTTCAATAGAACTCTTCAGAGCAGCGGTAGATAGATATAGTGAAGATAGTGATGGTGATATCCAACCATCGATTGGAAGACGGCACTTAAAGAAGAAGAATATGGAAAGGGTTTGAGATGTCGCTACCTACTTTATATAGCAATTTTTTCTTACACATATTCGATATAGCATTATTGTATACTTATTTAAGCCCATCTTCGTCAATACATCGTTATATCCTTACTCTATTCTCCGTCTTCTGACCTATCTAATTTTTTTCCTCTGGAATTTCAAACGCTAGGCCTTAGCAGAGAGGTATTCTGATCATAAAATCGTAAATTTGTTTAAAGTTGATAAATAGGTTTAAATTTAATTATCTTTACACGTATGAACAAAATTGACAAACAAAGAAAAAAATCTAGCTCTTTAATTTGGTTATAGAATTTTAATACCCTTCCTAACGAAAGGATTAGTAAAATATTTATAAAATGACAAACAATCTTACCTACTACGTCCGGAGCAAATGAAATATTTTCCTTTTTGGGACTGGACAACTCTTGGGGATCGCTCCTCTCTTTGCTGCTCTGCTTCAAGATGCTCTTGGTCCTTTCTATCTTTGGCTTCTGTGGGGACTCCTTATTAGTTGTTTGGACGTCGTTATTATGTTCGGCAGCTATTTCGGAATTACCATTCTGTATGGGGGGTTTCGAGGCCAAGTTTTGCGGCCTCAGAACTTTATCTTTGTTCACTTGTTCTTTTGGCACTACTCGTATCTCCAGCTTACCAGCAACCTAAGTAAAATTAAACAAGTAAATAGTAAAACTATAATTTTGATCTAACACAACTGTATATATGTATAAAATTCAAAATTCCTCTTCTGTTGCTATATATATATATATATATATATATATATATATATATATATATATAATATATATATATATATATATATTATTGTGATATTTAAAGGCTTAGTGCGCCAAGCAATTAATTAGCTAATTAATTAATTAATTAAAATTATTTAAATGATATGACTATGATTCTATCACACTTTATAATTCTTTTATCTCAGGGTTCTATTCGTGCTTCAATATCTATGCTATTACATGTGAAAGGTAAGGTCCAAAGAATACCGGAATAATAAAAAACATATAGGATCTAACATTATATATTGAAATGAAATAACGAAATAAAATTCACACTCAAAAGTTTTCAATAACAAAATCTCATATAATGATTCTCAAAATTTTTGTTCTACGTACGTGAACTTTCAAAATTAATGGTACAAACAATATTAGTTAAAAACTCAAAATCCCAATTATTATTCTAAATCTCCTAATCAAAATATTTATATCTTTTCTAAAGTAAGTGTAAAAATTGTGTTATCAATAAAAGAAAAACTGCAGAAAAACAAAACTATCTCTCTCTGATGATGAGTGGTCCAAATCCTTGTTCCTTGTAGACTATACTATCTACTCGTAGCCGCTCCCTAGGTAATCAGCAATCTTACAACAAATTATTGCAAGTTTATCGTCCTTAATGATCTCCTTCAAATGCACGAATCGTTCAAATTATGCTAGCTTCTTCTTCTCTCAATAAACTGAATCTCTCGTTGGCCCGAGTGAAAAATGGCTCTTGGAAGATTTTCTCTTTACGATAAACTGAATCTCTCGTTGGCCTGAACAGTGACTCTTGGAATATAAGTAGAAAATATAACTTACAATCTTTTACTGGATCAGCTTCTGTCAGATACACTAACTACACGAAAACTCACAAACTTTCACTGCTACTGCTTCCTACCTCTGAGAAACTACCCGAGAACAACGGCCGCTCGCCTTGCACCCTTGGAAACCAACTGACTCAATTTTCGTTTCAAAAAACCAACTAAAGTCTCATTCTCAAACCAATCATCCCACCTTTTTCAATTTCATTTAATCAAAACGCGTCATCCATCTCCCACACAAATTTTTACCTACAATTATAAAATTTCCGAACATTATTTAAAAACTAATCTTTTTACACCAATTCTTAAAAACTAACAAAAACCTATCTTTCTAAAATCTATTCTATTGTCCTAATCACTGCACTAATGTATTTGGAAAACCCGGTTCAATTGTCTTATGGATTTCACTTCAGCTTATTCACGTCATACAAATATATTTTAACAAAGAAAATAATTTATGCATATCTTACGTTTTGTTAAATACAGGTAATCCAAAATTAAAAGACTTTCATTCTTCTAAATGTTTGTAGTTTATTGTTTGACTTATCTGAATTATTTTAATGTTTTGAACTTTGAAATATTTTTAAACAAACCAATATTTTCTTGATTTTACATATCATAACAATATATATATATATATATATATATATATATATATATATATATATATATATATATATATATATATATATATAACCCAACTTCAATTATGTTGAGAAATATCGAATTCCTGAATGTTGTTCTATTTTTACAGCCGAGACTGCTACTATACAGAAAGCACTAATTTGGTGTGTCACTAATTATTATGAGAACTTCATAATAGTATCAGATTCTCAGGCAGTATTACAAGCAATTCTTAGCTATCCATTAGATAGTTTTCAAAACTCTATTATACTTGATATCAAAAAATTATTACATGAACTAAAATTTAAAAAAAAAGTTTTTTTTTAAATTTTACTGTGGGTTAAAGGACACAATTGAGTAATTGGAAACGAATAATTAGTGGAGAGTAATGGCCAAAAAATATGTCTGAGATATCTGAAATTACAAATGTTTACTACTTTAAAGCTCTTTTTTTCTGTTGTCAGGAGTATTGGCAGGGAAAGATAGGTGTCAAAACATGAAGAGGTTCAGAAGACTTCAAGAAACCATTACTTTTTTTATTAATCCATGCTTACCAAAAAGTATTCCCCATTTTCCCCATAAAGTAGATTTCTCGTAATCTATCGGAGATTTGAACGATTTATTTTTCGATTGTTTTAATTATAGGAAACATACTGGGAGCCTATATTTAGGTTTAATCGATCTCAATATTAGCCTACCAGTTAACATCAGACATCAGCAATCTGTTATCTTATTCTGACAAATCTATATATATATATATATATATATATATATATATATATATATATATATATATATTCTTCTAATCAAGTTTATAAACGATTCTAAGATAACATTTTAAACATCCTTATAACACGTTTCTATGGCAAAAAGATTCTTTGTCTAATGTCGTATCTCTCTCTCACTCACACAACGCAACCACACAACTCAACCTCTGGGAAAGATATAGTGATAGAGGGTGTAGAAATACGCAAAACTTAGGTAGATTAATACTGTAATAGAGGGAACAGATATTTTCTACTAGGAAAAGAACCAGGCATATCTAAAGAAGCCGTCTTCTTTGACGAACATATGTCTTTATGCCCTTCAAAACATTATAAAATCAAAACAACTAACAAGACGTACAATAAAACAACTATATAAAACAGTCATACGACAAGCAGTGATGTATGGGTGAAATGTGGGCGATAGGGAAAGTTTGGGAAAGAAAATCCTCAGAAAGATCTTTGGGCCTCTGCTTGATGGAGCAACAGAACAATATAGAATAAGAACTAACAAAGAGCTCGAAGAACTATATCCAAACGCTAACATAATAAAAGAAATTAAGTCCAGAAGACTCTCCGTCAGAACACATTCTGACGAAAGAATATCAAGGCAAGGTATAAGAAGAAGTCCCAACTGGAAGAAGACCACGTGGAAGACCTCGATTCCGATAGCCAGATAACATAGCAGGAGACCTTAAAGTTATAGACGTGGAGAACTGGATGGAGATTTTTTAATACAGACAAGAATGAAGGCATTTTGTCAAGTCGGCTAAAACCCACGAAGGGTTGTAGCACCACGAAGTAAATACACTCGCAATATTCCAGAGAGGAGCTAGCAGAAACTAAAAACTAGATAAAATAGCGTGATATCTAAAACCCAAGGGGGTCAATCAATTTAATGAAAATAATATAATTCGAATAAAAGCTTTTAGTATCTGACTTTCACTTTTTAAAAAATATTTTATAATCAAAAGTAGTGAATAAACAGTAATACAACAAAAAAAAAATTTAAAAAAAGAAATCTTTTTATACGCACCTCTTGAAGTCCTTCATCCTCTCCATTTTGTTCTTGTGGCTTATCTTCGTCGTTCCTGAATACTTCGATATCGGGTAGATTAATGCCAGGCAAACTAGAATACCTGTTGGAATCGGCTAGTTTCAAATCTTCATCGTTTTCGCTCATTAAATGTTTGGAAGCCACGTTTCTCATAACGTCTACTTTGAAAACGAGATCATCGAAGGCTGCTTGTTGAAGAAGAGGAGGCTTCAAGTTGGATCGTAGGCAAGGTCCTAGGCAAGGAGTCGACCACGCTCTGGGGAGTCCACCTGCAATACAAGCAAATAAGATTTATTTATTTATTTATTAAACAAGTTTGTTAGCAAGTTATTTTTGTAGCAATAAATATATATAATTGAAAAATAAATTACAACGTAAAATATAATTTAAATTTGTAATTAATGTAATAATAAAATAAAATTTTAAATAATGTATCACAGCAGAAAACATGTTTCAACACTAGAGAGATATTTTTAATGGGCTTTTTGCATTTATTTAAGCACTGACTATGTCAACTATATTATTTACAGTTCTAACCGATCTAGTCACAGAACAGTAATTGTAATTATTTTTTGTAGAAAGATATGCTAAATAGTTGATTTGGCCTGATAGATCTCATCGCTTTAAAAAATGGTAAAATTAGGAAAGCTTGTAGTCCAGAGGACCAAAATCCTAGTAAAACTTTTTAATGAAATATATAAAACTGGAGTAGTTACCGCAGACTGGGTAAAGTCAATCTTTGTTACAACTCCTAAACAACACAGTGCTAGAAAATTATCAGAATATCGATTAATTAGTCTAATGAGCCACACTCTTAAGATTTTTACTAAGATTACTCCACAACAGAATTAGTCTCAAATGCGAAGAAGATCTCGAAGATACGCAATTTGGTTTTAGAAATGCTATGGGAACTAGGGAGGCACTTTTTGCGCTAAATATCCTATTACAAAAATGCAGTGATCAAAGAAACGATGTATTTGATTGTTTCGTGAACTTTGAAAAGGCATTCGATAAAGTACAGCATGTAAAACTAATGCAGATGCTAAAAAATATCGAAATAGATGACAAAGATATTCGTGTCATTAACAATCTGTACTGGAATCAAACTGCTATCGTAAATATTGGAGACAATTACACCGAAGAAATCTCCATATAACGAGGAGTCAAATAAGGTTACATATAATCCCCAATATTGTTCAATATTTACTCGGACCAGCTATTTAAAAAGGCACTTGAGAGACAGACATATGGAATAAAAATCAACGGGGAACTACTTAATGTGATTAGTTACGCAGACGATACAGTAATTCTGTCAGAAAATATTGAAGGTATGTTATTTCCTCTTTACCAGTCTCTCTAATAGCTCTCTAATAGTGCTACAACTAAAGTCGGGACCTGGCCTTCCCCCTAAAATTTTAAAGTGTTTGTTTGTCTTTGTGTATTGTATTGTTATGTCCAAATTTACATGTATGACATTCTGCTCATGTCGGATAGGCCACAACTGACGAAATGCCCCTGAGGATGATCTATTGATCGAAAGTACTTGGGCAAGATTTAATTACTGTGTTCGATATTTGCCTTGTATACCATCAAAGTTCATTCATTAATTGTTTATGTCTTACTTTATCGAATGCTTTATTATAGTCAATAAAACATGCGTATATATCTTGATTGACGTCCAGGCATCTCTGTATCAGTATATTAAGTGAAAAAAGAGCTTCACGCGTTCCTAGGCCTTTGCGAAAACCAAATTGTGTATCATTAACGTCTATGTCCAGTTTGTGATATATTCGGTTATAGATAACTTTAAGAAGTAACTTTAGCATATGAGACATCAAGCTAATGGTGCGGTAATCGCTGCATTCTCTTGCGTTTTTCTTTTTGGGGAGACAAATAAAAATCGATGTTAACTACTCTTTGGGTAATACGCCTGAACCATAAATTTGGTTCAAGAGTGTCACTAAAACATCAATGTGCTTTTCATCTAGAATTTTTAGGATTTCTATAGGAAGCATGTCAGGTCCAGGGCTTTTCCCACTCTTCATTGTTTTTAAGGCGTGTAATATTTCTTCTTTTGTAATACATGGACCTATATCTTCTGACGTAAGTTCTATGTGCTCCAGATCTCCTCTTTCATCATCGAACAGTTCGTCAATTATATTCTGTCCATTTTTGTACTTTCTCGCCCGTACGTGTTATAGTAGTCCCGTGTAGACTACTTTAGTGACTATATAGACTATAGTGTAGATTGTGTTTTCTTAGTCCTGCCAGTTCTTTAACTTTCTTGTGTGGGTGAAACAGATCATATTTATTTTGAAGGTCTTCTATCTCTTTGCATTGCTCTTCAAAATATTTTTCTGTTGCCTGATTCTTCATCATATATTCACATGTTCATCATATTGAGTAACTCGTCATTCATCCATTCTTCTTTTCTCCTTGAGGAAGTCTTTAATATTTCTGTACAGGGTTCTAGTAGACAATGTTTTAGTCGATCCCAGTACTCGTCAATATAATTGGCGCTTGTGTTCAATTTGTTGCAGTTCATGTTGGAGGCATTCTTTTACTTTAGGTTCTTTAAGTTTTCTTGTCTATGTCTTTTAATATTTTTAAGGGTGAGTGTAATCTTGGCGATAAGTGGATTGTGATCTAAGGCCACGTCTGATCCAGGATATGCTTTCACGGCTTTAACGGCATTACGGTATCTTTCATTGATCATAATGTAGTCTATCTGAGTCCTAACTACTTTCTCCAATTTATATGCGGGCGATTGCTATGTATACAGTGTTTGGTAACTTGAAAAATGTGTTTGTAATAATAAAGTTTTGCTCTTGACAGAATTGTAACAGACATTCTCCTCTCTCGTTTTGATTTCTCAGGCCATAGTTTTCTATACACTTTCCGCTTTGTCCCTTTCCAATCTTTGATTTGAGATCACCTCGGACTATCGTGATTTCTCTTGTTTTCGTTATTCTCAGTGCTTCTTCGATATGTTGGTAAACTAATTCCACTTCTTCTTCGTCGGCATTCGCCTTAGGAGCATAAACTTGTATCAAATTCAGTTTGGCATGAGATGTCACTAACTTCAGTCCCATTACCCTTTCTGAGATAGGGAAATAACATTCCACAGCTCTATTACATTTTTTATTAACTATTACTGCAACGCTGTGTCTGTGTTTGTTATTCTCGCTATCGGAATAATATATTGTGGCTTCGTCTGTTGAAAAACAACATGAGTTGGGTCATCTGGCTTCACTGATACCCAGTACATCGATATTCAACCTGTTCATTTCTTGAATATCGTTGTGCATTTTACCGGACGGAAACATGCTCTGAACATTCCAGGTTCCTATTCTAGTGTTGGACAGTCTTATTTTTTCATCTACGTTCTTTTGACAAGAAATTCGCTGATTAACGACCTGAGAGTCTTTGTCTTCTTCTCACCTGCCAAATCTTGGCTTCCGAGGGCCATGATCAGTACAAAGATTTGGTGGATGTCAATATCGTGCTCCCAGGCTTTAGGTAATTAAGGGACATCGAATTAAGACAATACAGACCCTCTACTTTTCACTAAGTAAACCCTATTAGATAAGTATTTCTGAATCTAATTTAGCATTACGTCAGAAAATTCAATTAACTTTAATTTATGTATCAATATCTGATTATTTACACGGTAAAAATCTTTACTGAAATTAGTGTAAATTGAGTCCACATGGATATTAATGTTAAAGTTAAAACATATCATGCTGATAGAAAATTAAAGTAAAAGCGATTTAGCACTTTGGTATTTGAATTTACCAGAAAAAGAACCACGTTGCTGATCCAAGATAATATTCATAGTATTCAAAAAGCTTAGGAATTATTTATATCATACTTTTTGATGTATAATTTTTGATATTGTGACTCAAATTTTGTGAAAAAAAATTAGTACTCAATGAGAAATTAAAAAGTATTTGCAAAGGTATGGTTATTCCTCATTTTCCATTTCTCCCGAGATCCTAATCTTAACCACATTGAACACGCGTGGGATCAAGTTTAGATAGCATTAGATATACGTATCTTTACAAAACTCTTTAGAATTTAAGTTACTTATGGCCTCAAATTTTAATATAAATCAGATATCCCAATTATCGTTTAGCCAGCGTCCCAAGTACTTAAATCTCTTTACTTTTTATATGTCCTGATTTACTATCCGTACTCTGACATTGTCTACCTCACGCTTGCTGATGACTATAAATTTTGTTTTGTCTATATCAACTGTAAAACCATACTTTTGACTTATGTTATTGAGTTAATTTATTACGAAATGTAACTCTTTCCCATCATTGCCAAGGAGGGCCGTGTCATCAGCAAATCGCATTATCTACTTTCTAATCGAATAAAAATAAACGCGATATGTAAATGTGAAAATGCTAACCAATTTTCCACAGGGAAACATTTACATATTTTATCAACCCCGTATTATATGAGTACGCAAAAAATTCTTCAAAACAAATGTTAAAAATAACTTTTATAAGTTTCATTATTCTCTATAAATAAATACAGAGAACTCAGATGTGTATGTATTAAAATACTTTCGATCCATGCTTACATCTACCTATGGCTTAAAATACACGCGTCCTTGACCTTGACCTTGAAAATCGAGAGTAGAAATTTGCATGTAAGTGTGTGACCTTGAATTTTTATACCGACCGGGAGTTTGTCCTTAATTTTGCTCTAATATTATTAGTAAAACGGGGTGCCTGACGAGATACACTCTTTAATGCTACAATTAGTAAAACGGGGGTTCCTGACAATAGATACACTGTTTAATACTAAAACTATGAGTTATACTGTCATTACTCATTATTTCAATGTTCAATTTTATAATATTCGGTGTTTATTATTTCTTTTTGAACTACTAATTTACACATACGTTTCAAGTTTATTTTGGAGACGTATTAGAAGGATTTTTAATAAAACAGCGGTAACAAAATTTCATCATTTATTTCTGATATATTCTCTTATAATTTTTATTTTGGTAAAATGTCCGGAATAACAAGATACGCACAACTGTTACAAAATAGTGTACTAAGTTATACTACAATATCTAGTTTTTTTCATATTTTCAATATTTTATCTCCATCATCTTCATTCAAGTCGCACAACGAATAAGTTCATACTTACAAAAACAATTTGTAGGTTTTTTATGATGTTGTAAAAATTCTACGAATCTTTAACATTAAAACTTAACTAAATGAAAAAAAAAAAAACACAAGGAAAACTGTATAAG